TAATCTGATGTCTTTCATAAGACACACAAACACAACACATGTCCTTTAAACTCAACAGGGGAGGTCTAGAATGATGGACAGCACATCCTAACCTCGGCCCAGGCCCTACAAAGTCGGTCACAGGGGGTCTGTGTAGTCATCTATTCAAGCAACACATGGCTTCAGAGGCTAAACATGTACAGAACAGCCAGAGGCCTAATGTCCAGACCCCACCCACTGGGTCTTTATACGGAGTGAATGCCTGAAGAGCTTGGTGCTACGTATGAGAATGGACCCACAACACAAAAACAAGTCTAATTGACAGCTGTGTTGAGTTTTAAAGGGATATTTATGTCTTATTTTCCATTTTTCTGTTCATTACAGTTGTATACTTAAAATGACAACTCTGTCCTCATTTACTTACCCTGATTGCATTCCAAACCCACATCACTTGCTTTATTCGGTGAAACAAAAAAATATTTTTTATTTTAATCCATATTTTTGTCCATACAATGAAAGTCAATGAGGTCTACTTTTATTTGTCATAGAAGAAAGTCATACAGGTTTGGAAATACATCAGGGTGAGTAAATGATGACAGAACTATTCCCTATATGGCCATAGTATGATAAAACTTCATAAAAAAATCATATTTTCAGATTTACCACCTTTAAAAATAGCACTGACCAGTAATCTTATAGATTTCCCATCTGTGGCATGTTTAGCTAAAGCATTAAACACAGCTGAGTACACAATTATTTTATAATCTTTCTAAGATTATATGTGTACACTACATGGCCAAACGTTTGTGGACACCCCCTTACGGGTTTGACTATTTCAGCTATGCTGCCACAATACTCTCAAACTCAATTTTAAGTAGACAAACAATGTTAACCCTTTTCAATCTTTGTCAGGTAGATCAAAACTTAATTTGTCTACTATTAAAATAAAATGTATGTGATTCCGGAGATGCAATCTGGTACAGAAATGGATACTCGGCGAACAGGAATATTGACTTTTTCTCTGTTGCTGTTCAGTCCTTGTACAAGTACAATGTAATTGGTGATATTTGTCCCACCCCTCCTCCACTGTCACTGGATCGCTGCATTTTACCCAAAGTTGAACATTTTTCAACTCTCTGTGACCAGAAAAAAAGCCAAGCACACAGTGCTTTTTAAATATGTGCACTCCCATTGAAAACAATTGAAGATAAAAAATACTTTTGTGGACTAACAGCCTTAAAATTCATATTTAGAGATTGAGAATATTATGGCAGTGTGTTGCCCTTTTGCTCTTTTTTTTGGAAGGCTTTCTTAGATGATTTGTTTAGTCATGCACTTGATCATTATTATTGACAAGTGCATAAAATCAAGCATACAGCCAGACAATCCCCTTTGACAAATGTAAGTAGAATGTGGTGTACCAAAGAGCTCAGTGATGTTCAAGATGCACTATCCTAGGATGCCAAAGAAAGACGGCCTGCACAAAGCCCAGACCTGAACCTTACTGAACACCTCTGGGACCAATTCAAATGCTGACAGGGAGCGAGACTGATGCTCATGTCTGAATGGGAGCTAATCTGCACAGCCATGCTACAACATCTTCCTAGAAGAGTTGAAACTGTTAATGAACCAATAGGAGGATCAACTATAGTTGCCATGTAGTGTATGGGTAAAATAATGTAAAATTTTTATATAAAAAAGAAGTAAACAATGTACAATTTTAAATATATACCTAAAATGTTAATGCAGAAAGCATAAAGCATCTGTAATTCTTCTAGTATATTTGAACAAATTAGCCATATGGTTACAACAATGAAAATATACTGTATATTTTGCTTCTAGATCTTAATTATGTTTGATTCAGTGCAACTCATTGTCTACACCGTTTTTTAAATATTCTTTATTCCTCTTAGTCTTTGTATCAGTCTGAATTTATTGTTTTGTTTTTTAAATTGTGCAACTATTTCAAAGTAATTAGTTAGTAGCGTACCCTAGTGCAACTACTGCTTCATTACAATAATGCAAGCTGTCTCTCCTAGGGCTCAAGCCTTCAGCATTACCGCCACCATCTGGATCATATCGGAAGCATTTTTTCTGGTAAGCAGAGTACATGATTTGTGATATGTACAAAGTGCAAGACCTGCTGGTTTATCATCTTGAAAAAGCGCCTAAACTGCCTTTTTTATCAACAGGCAGTGAATTTTTAATTAAAAACCTGCCAATGAAAGTGACATGAAAACGGATGAAAACTGACACTGACTTTGCTGTGAACCCTTAAGCTTGTTATAGTGTGAATCCTCCAGTGATCCCTGGACTGGCGTCCCTGACTCTGCAACACAACAGCCTACTGAAAGCCAATGAGGAGAAGCAGCAGGTAAATGATGAGAATGGTATTTTTCACTCACTTACAGGGAGCTGTTGTATTTGCAGTCTGTGGTTTTCACAGTATGAGAGCCACTTCTCAGTAAGGCGTGAAGGACGCACGCTGTGAGGAGTAGGAGGTGAATGTGACTCAGTATTGATTCTTTGTTCTTGTTTGGGTTGATGTGATGTCTACGTGTGTGTACATGCGTTCAGTTGGTGTGGCTGCTCATTCAAGGTTTATTTTTTTGGTGTGACTAAGTACACCACAACTAATTCAGATTGAATTAGAGTCACACTTTTCACACATACTGGGTATATCTTTTGCTCTAATTAGTAGCTTTTCTTGAGGCATCAGATGTATTGGACAGTCCTGCTCAGTGAGTGCCAGTGGTACAAAAAGCTGTAGGTGGAGACGTTTCTAGTTTGGCAATCTAAATATTGCTGAAACTGGAGAGTTAAGGCCCATTCACACTAAGAATGATAACTATAAAAATAACCATAATGATAACTATATTATCATCCAAACCAGTGGCCAATAACATTCTGTTTATTATAAGCATGCTGCAGTTTTGTCCTCTGCTGCTTTAAATGCTCAAGTACTTTAAAACAGAATGGATTCTGATTGACTGTCAATAATTTTATCGTTCATTAGCTGGAAAAAAAAATAATTCTGAAAGCAATTCCAACAATATGGACTCTGCTATTCTTTTACATTTAGAATAATTTTTAGAAATATATCTTTATCATTATAGTTATCCTCCTTGGTGTGAAAGGGCCTTTACACAGGTCTTCTTGTACTTTTGTGCCCTTTTAGTGAGATTTTGAAAGTTGTGATGAAACGGAAGTAGTGATATCTCTTCATTTGTATTGTGACATACTGAAACTGATTATCGAAAAAGAAAAAGAAAAGTTGGGCGGGGTTCTGTCCATCAGTTGTTGATTGGATTGAGGCAGATCTCAATGTGAACTTTGGTCAATTGTAAGAAAGGGCCAGAGTCTAAGCATTTTAAATGATTAGAGATGTCTGGCATACGTCACTAGAGAGAAGCCTGTCATTTTACCAGAAGATCAAGTTCAGATTAAAAACATGCATGGATCAATAAAATTGATTTAGAAAACATAGAGGGTGAATTTGCATTTGTGCCACCTTTAATTACAGGTTACTCTAAGGCAGTGGTTCTCAACCAGTTTTGCTTCAAAAAGATTTGCACTCAAGTGGTGATGCTACAAAGCACCAAAAAATCATACAAAAGTATGTATTTAAAATCACTGAGATGAGTATAATGAATAGTAAAGAATATACAACATTATTAACATGGCTTAATGGAAATTAGTAACAAAGCTTCAAAGCCGCAATAAATTCTGGCATCATTCTGTCAGCACTCTGAATCATTCTGTGCCCTTACTTTTAAATCTGCGTTGCTTCGAGATCTTGGGCATTTATGAATATTTTGTAGCTAGATCAGTTCCTGTTCTGCACTGTTCACTCCAGTGCCCTCTTGCACAGATCCTTCTGCTGTTCCAAGACCTAATTCCCATCCGGCCTGAACTTTGTGCACTTGAGGATTTAAAGATCCCAAAAACCTACTTTCCTATACCTCAGGGGTGTCCAAACGTTTTTTAAAGGGGGCCAGATTCGATGATGTAAACACACCAGGGGGCCGGATGCTTCATATATATATATATATATATAGTGTTTTCCGGGTGGCGTAGTCGATTAATAGTTAGGTATTAGTTTTGTAAATACTTTCAATCTGACCGCCATATATATATATATATATATATATATATATATATATATATCAAGCTATCTGGCTTAAATTGAATGCTGTCACCTTGTGTTGACATTGTGAAACTGCATGAATTGTAAATTATGCTTGGCGGGCCACATATAGCCTACTACATTTTCATTAGACAAGCTGTGGGCCGTTTGAAATTCATCCACGGGCCGTATTTGGCCCGCGGGTCAGACTTTTTGGACACCCCTGCTATACCTATTCTCTTCATCATGGTATCTCAGCTGAGCACAAAACGCTGTTTTTGAAGGCACTTTACAAAGCCTATTCTCTATTTTACACCATGGCTGAGCATCCAGGCATAATGCTTAATGTCCAGAGGGGATGAAAATACAGCAGGCTGCCATCGTGCCTCAAACTCTTTGCTCCAATAAACAATAAATATTATTCCTGAAGGCCAAGACTTGCAGTTTAGTTCCTGACAGGCAAAGGAGATTATTTGACAGCAGTTATTTATATTGTAATTTAACAGACACTTTCGACTGGAAATCTACCTGCTACAGAGAATTTCTCCCTGTTGTATCATATTTCAACCCGATCTCATGAGAAAAGGCGACTATTTTAGAAGTTGGCGATTTCAATTATGATTTTAGGGGAATAAAAAGCATGAAGGTCTATCCCTAAAACTAACCCTCAGTGGGACGTAAGCAGATCATATGAAAACGTATAAATGAGATCATACAAAGCCATAAATTCTCCAATTTATCAAAGATGACAGATGATGTTGAATGTTTTCATGATATCTTGTTTTTCTGATACCAAATCAGTACACCATTTCACATTATATTTTTAAGAAGGTGTTTGAAACCAACAACCATTGCTAGAGAAAACAGGTTTGTGTGCAAATGGACTTTTGGTCTAGTTTTGGTCTCAGTTCTTAATAGATGATGGCTGAAAATATTCTCTAATAATTAGTTTGACTTTGCTGTTTGAATAGAATATCGCTACTACAGGTATGTGTAGCGATGTTTCAAACGCACAGTTGGCTGTTTTTTCCTCGCATCAGCGGTCACGCGCCCTTTCTGTCGTTGCACATTAATTATTCCCACAGTCTCCGGATAGGCTATTAATGCGTTTTTTTCGCGGTGCCCGCTGTCTTAATGCGTTTTCCCAGTTTCTAACAAAGAATTCACTCTGTCTCGGGCGCGTGATGCACTGCAAATTGAAAGATGGCGCGAAAGAGCTCTTGAGTCGGCGCGGCGCGTTCAGGTGCACACACCTCCAGCAAAAACTACGCACTCAGCTCTGTCTGCTTCAGACCGAATCATTTTAGGTGCACGGAAGGGATAACGCTAGGCACATAATCTCAACACGACAGTACGTTCAGCTCCTCTGTATTTCCAAGGAAGACACGCAAAGGACTGCCATGAGCTGTCGTGTCTAGTGACCCGCTGGCGATGGGATCTGACCGGCATACTGATACGCTCCGCCAGCAGCGTCAGCATCGGGGATCGAGACAGACGCAAGAACACCTCGCCGCGCCACTTTGGTTTTCGTTAGAGTTGCTCATTTCTTTGCGTTTGTAGTATTTTGATGTTGGTCTCGTCGTCGCGCATGCGTTGCTGTGTAGTTGAAATTGCTGGAGCGCTTCTTCAGACTGAGTTTGGGCTACTGCTTCTCGGTCGATGATGAGAGGGATGCTGGTCGCACGGGATCACTGGCGCGCGGGGATCTTGTGTCTCCTAGTGCTCGTGGCTTTGACGGTCGGTCGCAGCCCGCCAACGCACAGGTAAAGCATAACGTGCTTGTGTGTTATCAGTCTGCCTGCATTCCTTGCGGAGCCATGTTAAACTAGCCTAAGATGGTTTGCTGGGCTTAGCTGGTCTCCCAGCCTATTGGCTGGTTTTAGAGAGGTTTTGGGCACTTTTCAGACGCTCAGGCTGAAAGCCAGATGAGCAGGAGATTGGCGAGGCTGAGGAACTAGACCAGCTAAGACCAGCTTGGCCAGTCTAGGAGACAGTTAAATCCAGCTTGGCTCTTCTACAAGTCCAGATTTTAAGTTTAAACTGGTTTCTTTCAGCACGATTGGGTCACAGTTTCTTAAATATCACACAATTCTTCCACAGTGTAAATGAACCAAGCAACATGTCATATGTCAAAGTCACCGTGGATAAACTACTCAAAGGCTACGACATCCGTCTCAGGCCTGACTTTGGAGGTAAAGGCGTTATATTGGTTTAAAACACTTTTCCCTTCTCACTGATGGATGTGACCATTTTGATGGATCATTGACTGTTATCAGGCCATGTCGGAGAGATTGTGGTGTCTGTTTGCTTTGCAGGTCCTCCGGTTGATGTCGTTATGAGTATCGACATCTCCAGTATCGACATGGTGTCAGAAGTGAACATGGTGAGTCTACAAGCTACTCTGGTTGTTTAATAGATGGTGGGCTATTAAGGAAGGGGACATCTCTGTCAGCACAACCTATTAAAGGGTTAGTTCATCCCAAAATGTAAAATCTGTCATTAATTACTCACCCTCATGTCTTTCCAAACCCGTAAGACCTCCGTTCATCTTCGGAACACAAAGTAATCGACGTAATCAGCGTTGTTTACGTTCGGGGGAGAAAGCTCGCACATGAACGTAATCTGCGTAATCAGAGTTGTTTACGCTTAGGGGAAAGCGTGCGTATGCATTGTGATACTCTTTAAAATGGCAGAAGACGTAACTCGGGGGAGAAGAATTGTTTAAAAAAAAATTTTGTTTTCTTTGGGTGAACTAACCCTTTAAGGCTACAGTGATTAGATTCGTGAGAAAGTGGGAGATTCGAGTCTGCTGTTGTAGTCCACTTAGGAAAAAGCTACAGGCTACTGTTTTCTCTCCTGCTCACATACACACAAGCACAGCTGACTGTAAGATTAGACAGGCATTGTGTTCATTTTGCATTATGATTGTTTTGGCATTGGAACTGAACTGACATAAGCCTTTACTCTGACTCAGCAAAGAAGGACAAAATAAGCAATTGTGTGAGGAACATGCACACAAGACCCCATATACGCACACCCACAGGTTGAAGTAATGGATGCTAAAACACAACAGTGATTTTAAAGGGTTAGTTCACCCTGTATTGAATCGATGCGTTTTTGTAAGAAAAATATCCATATTCAAAACGTAATAATCACTTTAATGTAGCTTGCGCCAACAGTTGTACACGAAAGCAGCTATGTCATATACCTGAAATATAAGTAAAGGTGATTTTTATGAAGATGATCATGATGGTCAATGGATTATAGGATGTGTAATTAGCTTAAGTTTATTGGCCTGTGTCCAATGAGTATACTGTACTATAGAGCAACCTTTTTGACTTCTTTGGGTTCCCCCCATTGTCCAACATATTATTATAAACCTTTTATATTAACAGAAACTAAGGGCCAGATTTACTAAACAGAGCAAATTAGTGTGAGAGTGAAATCCCATAAAAACACAAATGGGAGTGGAAAATGTTGCTGGTGATCTACTGACAATGCGCAAATTAAAGAACACAGATGCAGTCATAATGACTAACGCAATCTACCAAGAGCAATGCAAATTACTGTAGGGTCACACACAAGCAGAGCCGATGATAATCAGGTGCGGGTAATCTACTGACAACACGGGTGCAAAATGGGTTAAGATATTCTTGGGGGTGCAAATACCATTAAAACTGACGACCGCAAATCTTTGTAAACCAACTTGCATGATTCTTTTAAATACTCTCCTCCCATACATTTTGTGTCTGAAAGGGAAACTCCTACAAATGCATATGCAATAAGGTCAGCCGCAAAAATAACTGTGTCCACACCTTTTCATCGCTATTGATTCACTGCGTGTCTTTAGTAAATCCTGTCTTTAGTTTTTTAACGTCAAAATGCAATGAGAATGCTGTTAGTAAATCAGGCCCTAGGTGTGTTGTTATAAATAATTAACCACAATTATTTTTTTCGTATGATTCAATAAGATTAAAGATTCTGCTTTGGTATGCTCTTCAAATAAAAAAAAAATTGAGGGAAAAAAGAAATATGATGTCAACGTACATATTGTTTTTTTAATGTTTTTTTTTTAAGAATTAATTTTTAATATAATGTAATGAATCCTGTGACCTCTTTGGAAGTGTGCTGAAGGCCCCCGGTGGGCCCCGGGCCCCTGTTTGAGAACCACTGCTATAGAGGACATGCAAGCTCCCTTTTGTCCCCCCGATGATGGCCTTGAATTGGAGATTAATGCCAATCATTTTCTTTTCAAAGTGATAAAATTGTAGTAAGAATAACAGTAAAATGTGTTTTGAAATAAACTTCAGGTGTAGCCTTATGCATTTCCACTCTGAAGGCTGATGCACTCTGGGAGGATGTCTAGGATACTTCAGGTCTAAGGTTGAGGTTGTCACTTTTGTTACGACAAGGTGTCATTTTGGCCATGCTGGAAAAAGCTTTTTTTGTGAATTATGGATAGCGGGCCCGAACAAAAGCCATTTCTGTGGTGGTTTGCCATACATTAAATATTTTATTAAGTGGGAGGCCTTTCAGGGAGGATACATGGTGGTGGGAGTTAGTGAGGCGCAGCAGAGAGATACTTAGCGTTTCACTGTTTCCAGAAATTCTGTTTCTCTAGAAATATACTTTTAAATAAAATCTAAAATGATCAGATTAAATGTATGTAAGCATACCACCTGGAGCAGTTTACGTCAGTTTCATTCTTGTAGCAAAGTCAGGGTACAAGAAACCGTCCCAAAAGTTATTGTGGCATTTGAAATGAATGATGAGTTATGAATTATAATGTAGAGTTGATTACATTCACCGTTGAAAGGACAGAAGGAATCAAAGATATCTTAAAGTGTCCTTATGCACCATTTTGAAGTTCCTTATCTCATCAGCTTCTCATTATTGCTTTTTATTCAGGTCAATGGTGAATTTCACAAGAATTAATTTAGATTTGTTTGAATGTAATGTGAACAAAAGTCAAGTTTGGTGAGGTAGTTGCTGTCATTTTTGTATCTGCAGGAACTAGCATTAAGGTGTAGCTTTCATCAAGATCTGTTGTGATTTTTAGGGAGGAAGGCTGAAAAAATGTGATAAAAAATATGATTCGACATCTAAATGGTTTTTAATCAAGTCATTAATATTGTTTAAAATCACTGGATCAACATAAATACATGATGTCACACCTAATAATTGTAAAGGTTTGATCAGGTAGCAATAGAAATTGCAGATTAACACTACAGTGTACCATACCAATTTTTAATTTACCATATCGATTCATTTACTCAGTCAACTTACCGATTATTGATTGAAATTGAATATATTGCCAGATATTGGAAATTTAATAACTTGATTTTTACATTTAAATACATCTAGATTAATGCTCACATCTGTGGAAACACTAATGATTTAGTAAAACTATTTTTTTCTTTCTGAATATTATAATGTGATGCCTGAATTTACTTGTAGCACTTATTTCTAACTTGTTTTTAATTGTAAGCAGTGTCACACCTAATAATTTTAAAGGTTTGATCAGGTAGCAATAGAAATTGCAGATTAACACTACAGTGTACCATACCAATTTTTAATTTACCATATCGATTCATTTACTCAGTCAACTTACCGATTATTGATTGAAATTGAATATATTGCCAGATATTGGAAATTTAATAACTTGATTTTTACATTTAAATACATCTAGATTAATGCTCACATCTGTGGAAACACTAATGATTTAGTAAAACTATTTTTTTCTTCCTGAATATTATAATGTGATGCCTGAATTTACTTGTAGCACTTATTTCTAACTTGTTTTTAATTGTAAGCATATAAATTTAATAACAGTGATTATTAAACAGCGGTCCATTAAATGAAAATAATTATCAGCTTATTGCTATCAGCCAGAATTTTAATATCAGTGCATCCCAAGTGCTTTTAGAAAATCAGATATTGAACTGTATTTGCCTCCCTGCAAATGTTCTCATTCCATTTCTCCTGCTTGCTTGCTTGAAATGAAAACACAGATACACTCTGACATGATTTTCATAACATTTCATGATTAAAGCGTCAGATATTGACAGATGTGTTTTCTGTTTCTTTGCTTTTTATAGCACAGAAAAGCACAGGTTCAGAGAGCACTGCAAACCTTATCACAAGAACAGAAAGGTGATTTGGCAGAGAAGTGAGAAAAAGCAGAATTTAAATAGCCAATTTAGAAATGGCGTTAAACTAAAAGATAATCTACTGCAGCTCCCCTAAGAATATTGCAGAAGGTCAGCTGTTCTCAGTGCTGTCACATAGCCAGCTCTTGTACACTCCTGCATTGATTGTTAATGTACGCTGCTGGTTACCTCAGTTGCCCTCACTCACCACATCGTGACTGCAGTGTGAGGATACATGTTAAGTTTGCAGTAAAAGATGCTCGATGTGAGAAGTGGACTCTTGGCTGCAGTGTGATGCTGGTGTTTTTATTAACAACTGGTGTGGACTTAAGCAAAATAGACTTTTTACTTTTACTTTCTCAGTTCACATTCTACGTCTTATTGTAAATGATTGATCAGTGCATTATGTTCCAAACAAAAAATGAGTCTTTATAATAACAAATATAATAGTATCATCTTTCCTTTACGTCAATTAGGCCATGCAACCTTATGCTCAGCTAACAAAAATATGTTCTAAGAACATTTTTGCTAACATCCATTAAGTTATGAAAACGTTATTTCTGAATGTTTTCAGAACATTAAAGACCAGATATTGAAACCAGATAACTCTGAGCAAACTTTTCATTAACGTTACTGGAAGAACAGCTGGGTGGATAATGTTAACCAATATTCAAATGGCTTGTTAAACAATTGGATATAACCAAATAACCTGATTTACTTGCATTTGGTCTAACTTCATTCTGGTTAGGGCTGTGTCTATGCAATCATATATCAATATGCATTTATTTTTCTCATGATATTTTACTTATATTCAAGTCCAGAAATGATTCATATCAATTCCTAAAAATTGTTGTAAGTAAAAAAGATTAGTACATCTTACAAGAAAACACTATTTCATTCTTAAACTCTACTTAAGACTTTCATGTTTAATTCAGTGTGCTATTTGCCATTTCTTTGTATTTATTTGTGAAATTTACTAGCATTTTCTGAGTGAAAATTGTTTCTAAACCAAAATTTTTTCCCAGTATACCATTCAATTAATAAAAAAGCAATCGTCTAAATAAAGAGCATCTGAATTCCCGTTAACTTTAATGCTGCAGCAACCTGCACCAAACCAAAGAAGATTGTTTTCCAGTGATTTTTTTCCAGCTCTCCTCAGTCTCATAGTTTCTTTTTTCTTTATTTTTTCAATTTTTGTTCTTTTATTCGCTACTTTTAATCCTGTTGTGTTCCTCTCAAGTGAGTATCTCTCTCAGCCTCTATTCTTCTTTTCCTCTGTGATGTCTTCAGTGTGATGGGCACAGAGAAATTAGTTCATTTTAGAATGTACAGTCAGATAAGGCTGTGATACAGTAAGTATGGCCTACATTGTGTGTATATGTGTATGATGTTGCGTTTCCTTTAGCATTTGTGTTTGTTTGTGTGTCTGTCAGGGTGCTCTGTGAAGAAGTTGAGGTGCTGGAGTGTTGATTTTAAGCGGTTGTCAGGGGCAACAGCTGCTTCTAATAATAGAAGCTGAAGGAAGCATTTGTCCTAAGCGAACCTGAGGCACACCCATCCTCTCTCTCTTTCACATTTCTCTGGCTTTCTGTCTTCTGCCGCACTCACATAAATGCACTCATGTTGTCATCTTCATGGGGCTGCACCCTTCCCGTCTAAAGAGCAGTTACATGTTTTATTTATAAATGAAGGTTGATATTATGAGAAAGATCATTTCCTTGATCTTTTGATGTAAAATTATTAAAAACTATGAAAAAAAAACTTACTGTAATCAAAACGTTTGCAATTCAAACCAGATATTAAGACCATGTGTGTAATGATGTCTTGTCCTAAGCGAACCTGAGGCACACCCATCCTCTCTCTCTTTCACATTTCTCTGGCTTTCTGTCTTCTGCCGCACTCACATAAATGCACTCATGTTGTCATCTTCATGGGGCTGCACCCTTCCCGTCTAAAGAGCAGTTACATGTTTTATTTATAAATGAAGGTTGATATTATGAGAAAGATCATTTCCTTGATCTTTTGATGTAAAATTATTAAAAACTATGAAAAAAAAAACTTACTGTAATCAAAACGTTTGCAATTCAAACCAGATATTAAGACCATGTGTGTAATGATGTCACAATTAATAAGTATTTATGTGAGAAATATTTTATGAACTGTTTACACAGAAATATATAATAATAATAATAACAACAGTAATAATAGTAGTACATTTATTAAACATAATTTGTATTTGTGATGGTGAACATAAGAAACGTCTTTCAAAAACATAAAAAAATCTTACCAACCCCAATGTGTCACGGTCAAGGTGTGTGGAGGCAGGCAGGATGACGAGGACGACAAGGATTCAAATAAGGATGTTTAATGTAGAGACAACAAGGCAGATACGGGTAGATGAGACACACACACTCAGGGTAACATTCACAATAACCGACAATACTAGATTACAAGAGACAGGAATTTATAGGGCAGATAACGAGGGGCAGACAGGTGAACACAATGAGGGTAATTAACTAATGATTATACGGGCTAAACCAACACAAGGGGAAGAAACCACAACAAACAGTCCACAGGGGTGTTACACAATGGTAATGTATGTCAAAAGTATTATTTAGTGAGGTGATAAGGAGAAAGTATGATAGATACTATTATTCTTAATGCCAAATGTGGGCAAAACTGCATGTATCATCTGTCCCTCCTGAAGGATCCCAAAGTTCTTGCCGCTTGTTATTTTGAACAAGATCTCAGTCATCTTAGTAGCATTTCTAAAATTCAGTTTAAGGGTCATGGATACATGCAGTACATTTTCTCCAAATAAAAAATGTTTTTAGGGCCCCCCCCCCCCTCCCAAATGCATGTTATAAAGTGATTGCATAGGCATTTTAAAATCTGCAAACTGCTGGATGACGTGTGTGTGCTCTGTGAGAAGACTCTTAACAGAGACTTTGCAGTACAGATGAGTATGGAGGAGCATTAGTGCTGGGACAGGACCTACCTGCACCCCTGTAGGGAAACTGAATCATCTGAAGTGCTTTTAGTACGTCACACATATGGAGATTATTAATTCATCAAAATTATTTTCATTTTTTATATGTTTAATGAAAAATGTTGCATAGTCCCTGGGTTAATATTGATAGGATCAAATTTTACTGCATTGCAGCAAACAATGTCTTGTGCTAAACATAGGAATATGACTGTTACTACCCTAAAACACACGAACGTATGTCCAGATCTATTGCACAAATGCTTGTAAAAAAGTAAAATGACAGAAATTAAATTGCTTAAAAACATTTATTCAGTATAATGTATTCTCAATATTTTATAGCCACAACAGTTCAGATAGTCTCTTTAATTTGTTGTGTTATATTTTTATCTGTATCTTAAACTGTAAGGCAATAAATTACAAATGGCATTCAGTGCCGATTTCATGCTTTTCAGTTGGACCTAGAATTGTGGGAGATGAAACTGTCCTGTTTCGATCACAGTGTTGGTTTTAAAAGCGGCATAAAGTTGATTCTGGACTGCATTAGCTTCATAAGTTTTATCTGCCAACCAGTCTAAAATGTGACTTAAAACAGACACAGACAGATGCTGTGATTGTTTTATGGGGGTTTGTGAGTGTCTGTGAGAGACAGGGAGAATCCACTCTGTTTAACCTTCACTCTCATTTATCATGTTGGTTTAATGGGATCTCAGCTTAATTTGTTTCACCACTTAATCAGCTGAGAAACGTGGCGACTGGGGGATGGAGTTTAAGCAGAAGCTTCTGTGCAAATGTGACTGCGTTTTTCAGTCTAAGCTTAGACTTTACAGTTAGTCCCAGCACATTTGGGATCTTAAGAGACTCTTTCCTTTTTACAGCAAACCTAAATGAAGTGCACAGTCATGTAAGTGGCAATTGCTGAGAGCAGAGCAGTGTTTGAAATATGGATGTACTGTTGGGATGGGATTTCATTTGGTTTCATTTAAGTTGGTGATTTCACAGACTTGATGAACTTGACCTCAAAGCAATGATGAATGCAGCTTTATTTATATTATTGTAGAGCATGAAGCACCAGGGCCACACAGTTATAATTGTGCTGTTTTGTCTGCAAAGGAGAACTTGTCATCTTGGATGATGCTTTGTGATTTTACACATCTGCAGGCGGTGGCTGTATGACCTTCAGCTGAGAAAAACAGGGTTAGTGAGGTCTTGGCTAAGGGGAAGGGAAGCTTAGCCTCGAGGTGGTTGACATCCACTTAGATATGTCAGAGAAGGATGCAGATGTCCTCCCTGAGATTACAAATGCAGACAGAAAAGGGAAAAGAGATGACAGCAGTGATCCATTTTAGTTTGTGACATATTTACTTTAAGTGTTAGTGGGGTCGTGTGTTTGCATATGCTAATAAGCATTCACGTTTTAACTGTTAAAACTACTGGAAACCCGTTCAAGTTTCATTTAGAATTTTTATTTTTGTATGTGTATACTTTGCACATTTTTGACTTTAAAGTAACACTTAAGTCATAAAAATTAATATCATTGCATTAGATTCACAACACATCAAACTGCAAACAAAACAACACTAGAGCTTTTATCAGAACAAACGTCACTTTTTGGGATGTTTTGAAGTGATTTTGGTATTAGGGTGATTTGTAGTGGATGTATGAAGTCAGTTCTCTTCAAGTTAACTATGGACATGATGGGGTCATGAATTCTGAGCACATGAATGACTGAGCGAAGTCATATTTATGAGTGGGAAACTAGAATTGTTACTTTGAAAGGGACATGTTTATTTGAAACATTACCGAAAACACGTATCTATATGGATATATACTGTAAATAACATTCAATATATCTATAATATAGATCACTGAGCAGAAAGCAAGTCTGCATTGAATTATAATGAATTATTTTGCAAGTTATTTGAATTTATATGCTGTATTTCAGTCATTAAGTCAGTAAGTGGTAGAAATTAATAATTTTCATAATTTTGTATTCAGACGTACAGTTTGGTTTGTTGTTCACAATATACAGCTTTTGTTTTGTTTATCCTATTTCATTGTTATGTTTCCGACTTGAACACATGATTTCTTGTATAATGAATGCCACACTTGGAGGTCTGAGTTTTCCATGTACCCTTAAAGGCAGTGGATGCACTTGACAACCAGAAAGAGTCTGAATACTTAAGTCTGAAATCTTCATTTTGAACTGAAATTTTTTTCTTTAACATATTTTGTTTGAAATATGTGCTTATGCTGCCTTTCTTTACAATAAAAGCCACGTGTTTTCATATTTTGTATCTAATGCAGTGACAATCTGGCATCAATGTGGCTGAGGTGTGGAATGGAAGAAATTAACAGTTTTTGTGTGTGTTTTTCAGGACTATACCATCACCATGTATTTCCAGCAGTCTTGGCGTGATAAGCGCCTGTCCTACACAGGGATTCCCCTCAATCTTACTTTGGATAACCGAGTGGCTGATCAACTATGGGTGCCTGATACTTACTTTATTAATGACAAGAAATCTTTTGTCCACGGGGTCACAGTGAAGAACCGCATGATTCGTCTGCATCCTGATGGGAATGTGCTCTATGGCCTCAGGTCAGTGAGTTTGTGTTTGTACATCTTTTTTTTTTAATATTTTTTGTGTACTTCTCTCTCTCATGCATTAGATTAATGTTTGATTGTTTTGTGAGTGTGCATCTTTACATTTATCTCTGTCTGCATGTGTATGCTGTATTTTTGGCTGACCCTATTCCCTTGGCTCTCCTGATGGTGCTTTTTTAGAATTTAAAGCCCAGTGAGAGATGTGTATCCTGTCTCAGTCAGGGAATATAGTAGGGTCTGTTTACCAAAGAAATATGAGTCTATTATGTTTGCATCCTATTCATCTCAATGGCTGTTGCTTGGCTCGTGCAGAAGCCCTTTGGAAGAACACAATTTTAATTTTCCATCCACAGATCTTTTTGAGCCAATTGTAATTAGCAGAGCAAAGTTTGTATCTGGACCCTGGATTGGATTCATCCAGACAGCAAATCGTTTATCATAAATATTTATAAACAAATAAAGAAAATAATTATAAACAGATATGTAAGAGAACAGAAAATGTAAATCATGAGTAAATTATGTATACTATTGCTCAAAAGTTTGGGGTTTTTAATGTTTTTAAAAGAAGTCAGAAAAATATAGTAAAAACAATATTACAGCAATATTGTGAAAAAATTATTAAATTTAAGATAACTGTTTTCGATATTAAAGGGGTCATATGATGCTGCTAAAAAGAACATTATTTTGTGTATTTGGTGTAATGAAATGTGTTTATGCGGTTTAAGGTTAAAAAAACACATTATTTGATGTAGGTATGTGGGGGCGTGTTAGAACGAGCCGTTTTAGGTAGGTGTGGTTGACTCTTAACTTTTATAAAGAATATCTCTTTGGATTTGAGACTTTAGTCTTTGCAACTTTACAGATCTTCTTTATGCACCAAGAGCTTGCAACACTCCAAAGAGAAAGGAAAAATTGAAATCGCATTATATGACCCCTTTCATATTTTAAAATGTAATTTATTCCTGTCATTACTCCAGTCTTCAGTCTAACATGATCCCTCAGAAATTATTCTAATATGCTGATTTGAGGCTTAAGAAACATTATCAATGTTGAAAACAGTTGTGCTGCTTAATATTTTTTTGGAAACCATCATTTTTTTCAAGATTATTTGATGAATAAAAATATAGATAAAAAAACAATTAATATATTATATTAATTAATTATTAATACAAAAATATTAATTAATAACAAATTATTAATTTCTTTGTAAAAAAAAAACTGACACCAAACTTTTGAACATAGTCTATTTCCTTTTTTAACAAAGTTTCTTTTCTACATTTTGTTAGATTTATGCTACAAATAAGAAAAAAATTTTTTTTAAAGAAAAATAAATATGCTTTGATAGCTTATGCAATTTTGCTTCTCAAGCTTCTATTACAGAAAAAGTGTATCAGTTCTGGTATGTTAAAGACTCTTTGAAAGAGAAATAACTTTCAGTAGTCATTGTTAAATGTGTCAAAACATAAAATGAAAATATTAATTCAAGTCAAGTGTCTTTCTGCAGAAGGAAAGCTGCACTCCTATCTTTCTTTCCCTACAGAGTGCAGAGTTAGATATGATATTCCCTCTCTCTCTATCTTGCTCAATACTGCATAATTTATATCTAATGTACTATGCCTGAGCGGTATGGAGTATGGACATGTGCTGCTCTATAGCATTGTGCACCTATGAGCGTGTGTCCATAAATTAATGTGATAACTGATTAGATAACCATCTCTCTGCCACTCAGAACAATACAGTATAATAAGGTAACCAAAAGTGTGTTTTTGTAGGGGTGGAAACGTGTATTTCTTACTGTGTGTTTGTCAGGAAAAAGTGCTTTTTACCTAAATTATACCCAGGACTGCAGAGTGAAGAAGCAATTCCATCATAAGTTGTCTAAAAGTGCAGCAGTCACGCACTGAAAGGCCACCGCGTGTGTTTCCCCGTGTTAATTAAAGCTCAGTGTAATTAAGATCCAGCCAGAAGCATTTCAAAGAGGGGCTGCAGACATGACTGAGACGGCATTAAGGCAATTACAGAGGAGAGGAATAAAGAGGGATGAAACACCAGAGTGGTATAAGGAATGCAGTGTTTCTGCACTGATGTTTATCCAGCAGCTTGTGAGAGAACATTTCAATGATGTGAATAAACAATAAGCAAATATTAGTGCGCATTATTAGCCAATTAGTTGCATCTATTTCTCTTAACGGGGGTTGATTGGGAGATGATTTCATTTGTTATATGAAGAAGTACGTGCTTGTCAAATCAATATTAGTTCAGCATGAATTATAGTTCAATGCTTTGAATATAAATCTCATTACAGGTGCAAGCAGGTGGCTGTAACACCATCTGCTCTGAAATGTACAACTTAAATGTTTCACTTACCTCCTCTGACATCTGGACAGAGTTCACATTTTCTAAAATAATAGAACGGAAGTATGTTTGATCAGTCAGACTCAGACTCTTACTTACCGTTACTGTTGACCCACTAAGCAACTGCTTGATTGTAATAGTATTGTGTTGTGTTGTGTTTTTCACCTCATATCTGTAGGATAACTACCACAGCTGCATGCATGATGGATTTGCGGAGATACCCGCTGGATGAGCAGAACTGCACGCTGGAGATTGAAAGTTGTAAGTGCTGTTTGTGGTTTAACCTTTAACAACCATGAACAACTCAGTTGGCTTGATTGAATAATCACACATATATCAGTAATAATTGAGAAAAGCCGTGTATGAAGATGATTCAAAATCATTTTAGTTTTGTACCAGATGAAAACACTGAATAGACAAAAAGTGGCTTCTGAATCAGTATTTTGTTTATTTTAGTTTTCTTATCATTGAACACAAGCTGTCACAACTATCACTGGCCTAACATTCACAACAATTTGGTGTTTTTCCGAAACCATAGTTCTAAGGAACATTCACAAACAGAGTCGCAAAGCTCTGTGAACTGTGATTAGAAGCATAGTTTCTAGTTAGTACGATGTGGATGTAGATTATGCTTTTGCAAAATAAGCAAGCTAACATGCTTTACAATCTATATCTTTCATATACACAAATTTCATTTTAAATCTTTTGGTTGCCATGAGAATGAAATCTTCGTTTTTGAAGGGTGTGCATGGGCAAATATGTTCTACCAACCCGAGGGAACCCTTAGTATGACGTAAGCGGGAACATGTGATTGAATCAAACACCTGAAAATAAAGCAAAACAATGGAAAACAAAAATAGCAAAGTAGTCCTCCGATGCCATGTTTGTTATTTACAGCATAATCTGACATTAATTAGATTTTAAACAAATAAATTAGCAGACGTTATTACTCCACTACTTGTGTGACGTCATTAACACCAATTCTATATTGTTGAACCAATGTGGTTCGAACAACTAATGTGTGACAGTTATTACAGTTTGCGAAACAGATGTGACCAGTTAATTTTTCCAAAGATGCATTGTATTATGGTGGTTAAACAGCGAACTATGTTGTTGTATGGGAAACGCACTCCAGGGCAGATGTAGGGGCCATCCACACAGGAGACGCTGCTGTATTCTGTCTTAGCATTTCTAAGACGCACACATCTTGAGCGTCTCCTGCACTCTGTTACTTGTGTTCCAACTGTTTTTAACAATATGAACATGTCCCATGTGAATGGGACAATATAGTAATTCAAACTTATATTGCTCCTTACAGTAGGTAAGATAATTGCCTCTACCATAATTTACATTTGAGCCAAGGGGCATGATTGTATTATTTTTTCACATTATTATTTTGAATTAATAGCACTAAATTAATTTGTTACATTGACAGAAAAATACTGTATATATAGAGAGAATGAATGCAGAGGAACTTTTTTATACAACACACCACTAACTAATACATGCTACCAACATGCTAGTCCAGTTTTCACTGAAAGTATTACATAAAGATGCTGAAATTTCTTTATTGCATGCAGTTGCATGACAATGCCGCAAAAATACTGGTGCAATCAGTTGTGTAATCATAATGCATTTATGCATTATCTCATTTATCATGAAAAACACCTGCAGAGAATCTGGCTGTGCTGACTAATCTCGCTGTTTCATCTTTCTTTGTCCCTCCGTCTGTCTTACTCTGTCACTCTTTCTTTTTGCACTCTTTCCTCTCCTCTACTCCATCTCTTTTGCACTTTGTCTCTCTCGGTGTGACAGACAGTGTTTGTAATTGGGTGGCTGCTCTGCTGGGCAGACAGCTGTAGCCCTGTGAGGTTGCTGTCATGTCAGAGCTCTGAGATGCATATAACAGCATGATGGAGAAACCACAACACCAGCATCACAGCAGACATAAACCATGTCACCTTCACCACATACACATCATCCATGGGACAAGACAAGATCAGACTCACTGTAACGTTGGCAAAAACACTTATAGGTTGCTCTTAAAGGGATAGTTCACTCAAAAATGAAAATGGTCATTTACTCACTCTTGTGTTATTTCAAAAAACTGACTTTCTTCTGAGGAACATACAATATTTAAGAATATTACCATTGACTTCACTTGTATGGACAATTTCTCAAAGCATTTCTCAAAATATCTTAGTGATTGAATAATTGACGACAGAATTGTCCTTTTTTTTTTTTTTTTTTACAAACCAAAATTAGACATGTCAGTACAGCTTAGCAATACGCATTAAAGCAATCAAAGCTATATAAAAAACAATATAAACATAATATGCCAGGTAACAGGGTTGCAAATTTAGCTTATAATCATATTTGTAGTTATTGAGAAGCTTATATTTCATGTAAAATATAGAAACAAATTTAATATTGTTTCATACAATTACTTGGGCAGTAGTAAGATAGATATAGATAGATATATCTCATTTGTAAGTCGCTTTGGATAAAAGCGTCTGCTAAATGACAATGTAAAAGTTTATTTCATTCCTTTTTTTTAAACTTTTTTTTATAAAGAAAAACATGTAACAGGGCTTAATGCAAAAAGTGGAAGAGTTAAATATGGTTTCGTTGGTTGACTTAATATTTAAATACAATTTATGAATATCAATCTGAATATCTATTTAGATTATGCAACAATACAACATTACATGTGATTTTGGTACAGTTAATACAGTAGGAGTGGAACAGGCTAAAAAAATCATTTTGGGACAGTCATGGGACACCAGAGTGTATTTCTATTTGTAGAAAACTGACAATTAATCAAACATCACAAATTTGACATGCAATTTCAGATTCCAACATTAAAGAGAAGAGGACTTAAAATGACAGAAAAATTCAGAGAGCATTGCAGACCGGGAAGAGTAGACCTTCATGAGGATTATCGCTGTGCTTCAGTCACTCAGGACTCTAGGCTGATGTTTCTTTTGATTGAACTTAATGAAGAACAGGATGAATTCACTATCACAAGACTTCATCCTCTAATTAAGCTTTAATGTTCTGCAGTACTGTGCTCTCCTGGAGATAAGCACAGAGAGTCTGCAGGGACAATCTTGTCAGTTAGACCTGCACCAGACCTCTCACAGAAGTGTTCTCACTGCAATCACATGCTGATTTACACCACTGACAACAAAGACTAGGAATGTGAGAGATGCAGCTCTCCCTTTGAGCGAGCATGCTGTTTTGTGACTATATGTGCATTTGTGAATGTTTCTGTCCCTATTTTGTCTCTCAGATGGCTACACCACAGATGACATTGAGTTCTACTGGCAGGGAGGACGTTCAGTGACAGGGGTGGACAACATTGAGCTGCCGCAATTCTCTATTATTGATTATAAAACACTGTCTACGAAAGCGGTGTTTGCCACAGGTGCAGTGCTCTCCCTGCATGTTCATAAGATGAATAGACATCTTTAGAGACGAGTCAGCCCTCCTCTGTCCTGCAGAACTACTGTATGCCAAGATTGCCTTCAGTTCAAAACTGAATCATTCAAATGAAGTTGTTTTTTATTTGTAAGCACAGAGAATGCTATGTGTGTAGTTATTATGCTGTTCTGATTTTAAAGAAATTAAGCACTTGGCTGTTACATAAAGTCTGGTCCAATTTGCAGTTTGTTCTCGTCAAGACCCGCCCACTTAGACAGGAATCTGACTGACTGACATGTTAAACGCCCAACTACACTGTATACTGTATGCTCTACCATCAGTAAGATTTTTTTTAAAGAAATTAATACTTTTATTCAGCAAGGATACATTAAAATTGATCAAAAGTGACAGAAAAGACATAGTTACAAATGATTTCTATCTCAAATAAATGCTGTTCTTTTGAACTTTCGGTTCATTGAAGAATCCTGAAAAAATATATCCTTGTTTCCATAAAAATGTTAAGCATCAAATCAACATATTAGAATGATTTCTGAAGGATCATGTGGCTTTGAAGAGTAACGATGCTGAAAATTTAGCTTTGCCATCACAGGAATAAATAACATTTTAAAATACAGTATATTCAAATAGTAAAGTTATTTTAAATAGTAATAGTATTTCACAATATTACAGTTTTACTGTATTTTTGATCAAATAAATGCAGCCCTGTTGAGCAAAAGAGACTTCTTTCAAAAACATTAAAATATCTTACTGACCCTAAACTTTTGAATGCTAGTGTACTGTAAGGTTTCCCTTCTGAATGTGTTTTTGTGTACCACACTGACAGTACTTTCATTTCTCACTTTCAGGGTCATATCCTCGTCTGTCTCTCAGTTTTAAACTGAAGAGAAACATTGGATATTTCATCCTGCAGACCTACATGCCTTCAACATTGATCACCATCCTGTCCTGGGTCTCTTTCTGGATCAACTATGATGCTTCTGCTGCAAGAGTTGCGCTAGGTGTGTGTGTTTGTGTGAGGTCACATAGTGCTTCACACTATCCAAAGTCATTGCCCTTCACCTCACTTTTTCCAATACTTCTTAAATTTACTTTTGATGTCAAACAGTTTCTAAATAAAACATTGTATTACTGACTCTCTTTAGGAATCACCACCGTTCTGACTATGACCACAATCAACACTCATCTTAGGGAGACTTTACCCAAGATCCCTTATGTGAAGGCCATAGACATCTATCTGATGGGCTGCTTTGTCTTTGTGTTCCTGGCCTTGCTCGAGTATGCCTTCGTCAACTACATATTCTTCGGCCGTGGTCCACACTTGCAGAAGAAAGTGGCAGAAAAAGCTGCAAAAAGCAACAATGGAAAGAGTCGGATGGAGAGTAACAAAGTTCAGGTGGGTCTTTGACCTGTTCTACACTTCTTAAATATTTTTTTGTAATTATTTGTGCTGTAATCTAACTCTCACTTTAAAGGGATTCCCCGATTTTAGTTTTATTTATAACATATTCAGACAAAATAGTGCAAAATAATAATATCAGCCATAACAAGAAAATAACTTATCTTCCACAATTTTAATTGTTCTACTGTTTTATGTATAAACATTTTTTGTGTGTGAGAAGAATCACTAAAGCTTACCTCTTACATAACTTTGCTAATATTCTGTTTTTATTTATATATTTTTTCCATTAAAGTTTGATGTCCATGGAAACATTCCCCTGACAAACCTTGACCTGCGCCTTAGTGGAGCAGAGATGTTAGGTGCTTTTGGGGACCCAAGGAACACCATGTTCTCTTATGATAGTGCCAGCATCCAATACCGTAAGCCCCTTACAGGTCGGGACCTCTATGGCCGGCCCACCGCCTCTGTCGAGAGGCCAGTGTCACGAAAAAAGAGTCATCTTAGGAGGCGAGCCGCTCAGCTAAGGGTGAAGATTCCAGACCTGACAGACGTAAACGCCATCGACAAGTGGTCACGTGTCATCTTTCCCATCACCTACACCTTCTTTAACTTAGTATACTGGCTGTATTATGTCCACTAGGGAGCAGCACTGACTCGACCCAGCCATTCACACATCAGGTCAGGCTCTCTTACCCTCCTTGTGGTTTTGACGGTCAGTCAGACAGGAGGAGGAGGTGCATTCTGTAGGTAACTGTAACAATTATTAAACTATAAAGAATATATCATATAAATCTATATTATAATTTTGAAATAAAAAAATAAGCAGCTAAAAAAATGACTACCCAAATTTTAAAGCTGTTTAATGTAGATTATGTCACAAATATTAGTTTAAAATTGTCACTGGATTTTTGCACTTTGCTTCTGTAGGATGAGTTTCACTGACTGCTGAAAGTACAACTTCACAATGGGGAGAAAAAAGGCTTTTCTTTAAAGACGACTGCACTGCAGCTGCATGTCAGACAGGCTTAAATCTTTAAAACAGCATTTGGAAGTTGTTTTAAGGTCTTAAAGGGATGTTCTTGGTTTATTACAAGCTCTATCAACAACATTCGTGGCATAAATTTCATTACCACAGAAAATAATTTTAACATCCCTCAGGTTTTTATAATAAATAGTTGTAATTTTGAAAAGAATTACAAGTTACTTTTATCTGGTACTTTCACATCATGTAGATTTTATTAAAGCTTTATCCCTGTGTTTTGCAACAATGTAAGCATTTAGTTTTTTTTTTTTTTATTAGAAACCAATAGTAATTCAGTATAGTAAAATGCTCCGGTTACTGTCATAACCTCGGTTCCCTGAGAGCGGGAACGAGACATCACGGAGATATTTCTCCGTTATGGAAACTCCTTGACGCGAAGTATGCAAATCGCATGCAAATACTGACGAGCTCGAGAGGCAGTATAAAATGCGGTGCACGCGACAATTACGTCAGAATCTGATACTGAACGCAGCTTAGCTGATCGAGCAGCGAACACGGCGACCACCGTGATGTCTTGTTCCCGCTCTCAGAGAACCGAGGTTACAACAGTAACCGGAGCGTTCCCTCTCGAGCTTTCACGAGACACGTCCAGCTTGTAAAACCTGGCGAAGGTATTCTGGGAAGACCAGCCGGCTGCAAAGCATATATCTTGAATAGACATACCTCTCGACCACGCCCAGGAGGAGGCGATAGCTCTTGTTGAGTGGGCCCTAATGTGAAAGGGGCATTCCAAACCTTGGCTCGTATAAGTAGCCGTGATAGCGTCCACAATCCAGTGGGAAAGCCTCTGTTTTGACACGGCCCGGCCCTTCGCACAACCACCGTAGCACATGAAAAGCTGGTCAGATTGCCGAAAGTTGGCCGAGCGGTCAATGTAAATCCTCAAAGCCCTGACGGGGCACACCGAAGTCTGAGCGTCCGCATCACGCGAGGTCGATGACTCAGAAGACAGGGCAGACAGCGAAACAGTCTGCGCTCTGAAAGGGGTAGATAGTGATTTAGGCACGTAGCCCGGCCTCGGCCGGAGAGTGACGCTGCAGTCGCCGGGTCTGAAGCGAATACAGTCACTGTCCACAGAAAACGCATGTAAATCCCCTATGCGCTTAGCCGAAGCGAGGGCAAGAAGAAGTGCAGTTTTGAGAGATAGCTCCTTCATATCAACGGATGCTAAAGGCTCGAATGGTGGCTGTGAAAGAGCTCTTAACACCACCTCTAGGTCCCAGGGCGGGACTGAAGGCGGACGTGGGGGATGCAATCTTCTCGCTCCCTTAAGAAAACTCACCACCAGCATGTGCCCACCGATCGATTGCCCGCCCAGCGGGGAACGAAACGAGGCAATAGCGGCCACATAGACTTTCAGTGTTGATGGCAGAGATCCACTATCCAGTCTGTACTGTAGAAAACGCAGCACATCCGACACGGAGCAAGCAGCCGGGTCGATATGAACATCATGGCACCATTTCACAAACACTCCCCATTTTAGAGCTTACAAACGCCTCGTGGAGGGCACCCGCGCCTCAGAGAGCGTGTCGAGCACACGAGAATGCAGAGCATTCAGCTCCTCTGATATCCCCAAAGCAGCCACACATGAAGGCTCCATAACTCCGGGTTCGGGTGCCACACCGAGCCGCTCGCTTGAGACAGCAGATCCTTCCTGATGGGGATCGGCCAGGGCGGCGCCACCAGCAGCTCTGTCAGGTCTGGGAACCAAGGCTGGTTGGCCAGTTCGGGGCGATGAGTATCACCGAAGCCCCCTTTTCCCTGATCTTGCATAACACCAGTGGCAATATCTTGATTGGAGGAAACGCGTACAGCCTGGCTGCTGGCCAGTGCGATGTCAGAGCGTCCCCTTCCAGCGGAGAGTGAGACAGGGAGAAGAACAGCGGGCAGTGCGCATTCTCGCTCGTGGTGAACAGATCCACCTCCGCTCTCCCGTAGCGGGTCCAAATCATCCGCACCGACTCGGGGTTCAACCTCCACTCTCCTTGAGGAATCCCCTTCCTCGAAAGCATGTCCACCCCGCGATTCAGGAGACCGGAGATGTGCGCTGCTTTGATGGAGAGAAAGTGACGGTCCGCCCATAGCAGGAGATTCGCTGCTTGCTTGTACAAAGCCCTGGAACGTACGCCTCCTTGGTGATTTATGTACGAGACCACAGACATGTTGTCAATGCGAATCAGTACCTGTCGCTGTTCCAGCTGCGGACGAAAATTCTTTAGAGCTAAGAACACTGCTTCCAGCTCCAAGCGGTTTATGTGCCACCGGCTCTGGGGTTCTGACCACAGCCCCGAAGCCGGCATGCCCTCGCACACTGCTCCCCAGCCGCGAGTCGATGCGTCCGTCGTGACCACAACGCGCGACGTCACCAAGCCCAGGGGAACCCCCCGGCTGAAGAGATCTGGGTTGCGCCACGGCCTCAGAGCTTCGATGCAGCCGCGGGAGACCGCGATGCGCAAACGGCCCAAAGTCCACGCCGTCCAAGGGACTCGAGATTTCAACCATAATTGCAGGGGGCGCATGTGTAGTAAGCCCAGATGACATACCGCTGCAGCAGACGCCATGAGCCCCAGCAGCCTCTGAAATTCCTTCAAGTGAACAGAGCTGCCCAGTCTGAAATGGCGCAGGGAAGACAAAATGGCCGCCGAGCGCTCCCGAGAGAGGCGGGCTCGCATCTCCACTGAGTCGAAGCACACTCCCAGATACGTTATAGACTGACTCGGGGCGAGAATGCTCTTCTGCATGTTGACACATAGCCCTAGGGACTCCAAGTGACGAAGCAGCGTGTCTATATGGCTGACTAGCGTGTCCCGGGACTGAGCTAAAATCAGCCAATCGTCCAGATAGTTGAGAACGCGCATCCCGCTCGCTCAATCGGGAAAGTGCTGCATTCATGCACTTCTAGAAAGTGCACGGGGCCAAAGCCAGCCCGAACGGGAGAACAGAGTATTGGTACGCTGTGCCCTCGAAAGCAAACCTCAGAAAGCGTCTGTGATGCGGTGCTATCTGAATGTGAAAGTATGCGTCCTTTAAATCCACGGATGCAAACCAGTCCCCGGAGCGAATTTGTGCCAGGATTTGTTTCAGCATTATCATCCTGAATGGACGCTTGCAAACCGCTCTGTTGATGGGCCTGAGATCTAGAATCGGGCGGAGTCCCACGTCTCTTTTGGGTACCACGAAATAGCGGCTGTAAAATCCGCTCTCCAGCTCGCTGGGAGGGACTCGTTCTATCGCTCCTTTTTCGAGCAGACTGCATACCTCCGGTCTCAGAACCAGGGCGTTTCGAGGCAATGTTAGAGACTGCACCACGCCATTGAAACGGGGTGGTCTGCATCTGAATTGAAGGGTATACCCACGCTCTATCACACCAAGTAGCCAGCGCGAGATTCCAGGAATAACTTCCCACGCGCTCAGGAACTGACATACAACATAAGTTATTCATATTGGCATGACATGCTAGTAAACCTGATACATTTTTGGATGATATGCTCATGGAGACCTGAAAAATATGTAACAGTTGTACACTGCTTACATGGAGCAAACTCCACTTGCAAGACTAAATGTACAGTATCATATACTTTTATAGTTCCTGAAGATAAGTTCATTTACCTAAAACAGTAATATCTTAAAAAATAACTTTATAGTCAGTTGATGGAGCTTAACTTGAATGAAAACCTGGAACATTCCTTTAAAATCAAGACCTTCATAGTATGTTTAAGTTTGATAAATGCCTTGCCCCAGTTTAGACACATCACATACTGTAGATTAAACCTGTTTGTCTTAGTAAGACTTTAGCAACTCTGCTACCAAGAAATGGGCAAAAAAGCTCATCATTTGGGTTACAGTATTTATAGGGCTCAGTTTAGAGTACATCTAAAAATATATATTGTCTGCAGCTCTTGTGTGTCTATATATGGCCTAACACACTTGTTCTCTATTATCAAATGTAGTCAGTCTGCCAGGAACGGATGTCCTTACATCAGTATAACAACACATGGTGACAAGCAGGATGTGAGTTTAAAGTCCACACAGTATGGAAATTTGTACATTAAAATATATCAGGTATTGAAAGATGAATGATGTCATCATGTTTTTCTCTACTTTTTCTTTTAAACCAAAAAATCCTGCATATTTCATTTATAGCAGAAGTTGAGTTTTATACTGTAAAGCCCAATATATAAAATCCAGATTCATTAGCAAGAGGTTAAAAGACAAAAGTGGTTTCAGGAAAGTGATATATTAGTTCCTATTGTTCAGTATTTGACTCGGCATTCCCAACATTATTGTGATCGAAATGTAGCTATGATTTTAGATATGAGCAATGTTTTAGGGATGCAGTTATATCTATTTATATAGGAAGTGACTTCACAGTATTTACCTTACACATTTGCATTTAGGTTTATACTTTGCTATTCACTGTGAGTTATATATTAGCCAAGCTCACCAAAACGGCAGATAAGACTTCTAACAAATTAGATTTTTCTTCTTTATGGCTGAACTTGTGCCTTTTAAGAAAAAAAAAACATGTATTTTACAGGGTTTAGCATGCAACAGCAGAGTAGAAATATTCTGAATGGATTTCCACTTTTCTATAGAACTAATATTACTCAAGGGTAGCACACGTAATCAAAATCAAAGGTACTTTCAAGGCCTTTTCCAATGCCCTGCATTAATATTCACTATATTATAAATACACAAAATGTGTTTGGCATGTAAATAAATTGCTTGCATTGCAACACTCTTTTTGTTTCAGTGACAAGTTGACTGGGACATGAGCTGGTTTGTTTGTTGTCCAGGAGTGAATTAACTTTACGAAATTCTCCATTAAAGCAAAAATCAAAGAGATCTCAAGACTGGCAACGTAAAAACAAAGCATATTCACACGTGCTCAAGCCAGAATCAGAAACACATAAAAGTGAATTTATATGTAACTTTTTATAGGCCATCTATCACTCATACATTGTGTTTTGGCTTGGGATGCAAAAAAAAAAAAGTATTTTTAAAACAGTATCCTATTATAGGTGTATGATTTCTGTAATTGCACTCGTGCTATTGGCCAGTGCGGAGTGGGCTGAAGGAGAATTTACTGTCACTGAATGAGACAAGGTGCTTGTATTTGTGTTTATGTATTTAAGGCTGGGACTGCAACCACAGTTGTTCTTAAGGATACTTTATTTTAAATCATAGACATTTTGAATATATTCAAATAAAATATCTCACCAAGCATAATGTGAAGAGCTGATTTTTGTACTCGATTGCTTTCTTGTTGCATTACCACATGGCATTGGCATTTTGTGAGCTGGGAAGTCTAATAATCAATGATGGACGCAGAATTAACTGAGGAATAAATAAAAAAGGGTTAATTGTTCTCATAAACCAATCGCCCTTGGCTCTTCAGGGAATGGAACTATTAGGATGATCTGACAGTAATGAAGACAAAATCCCATTCATGCTACAAACTTGATTTAATCCACTTCAACATGTGCAAAATGGACACCTAAGCTTTAACATATTAATCAGGATTACAAGTGAGTCATGTATTCACATTATCGCATGAAAAGGTGTGGTTTCTGCCTTTTTTCTGCCTATTAGTCACTATGTTGACTTGCATTGGCAAAAAAGGAACAACCCACCACTCAGGTGTTGTCATTTAATGTTTTAGTTACTTTATTTAGAAAGGCAACTTTTTGGGGTGTGAAACCAAAATGCATTGCATGGAGAATTGAAAACAAGATCTGTGGCAGGCATTTAGATTTTCATTGTGCAAAATACTCCACCTCAAAACGACCCTACCACCATTACCTAGGCAACTTCAAGTCAACTGTAGTCCATAACGATGGAGCTTGAACAATAATATTTAGTCCTTCATGAACACCTCAGGTAGGAGACACTGATAGGTTCCCGGTTCTGTCCGTAAGGTTTCTGTTTGCCCACATGCAGGCATTGTCTCATAATACAGAACTCTGAAATTCTCTCTTTGAAAGTTTGATGTCACAGAACAATCTTTGTTTGGTATCTTAATTTCAACTGCAACACAACCTAGAATAGGACACATAATGCCAGGCAGTAGAGTTAAGTGTAGATGCCACCACTGTCTATTTACAGTCCATTAACCTTTTAACATTTTACCTGATAAAAACTAAACTCCAATCCTTTAATTAACATATTGTGAAGAAAAAAGCTGTGTTTGTGATAAACAAATCCATCATTAAGGTGCTTTTAACTTCAAACTTGATTCCAGCCAAAATACCAGTCCATATCCATAATTCATAATAACGCTTTCTATATATAGGATACAGAATATACCTTGTTGTCTTCTCACATCAAAATCTACCAACATATTTGTTTAGAATTGTTTTCACTTGTAAACAGTGCTTTATCTGTGCATATTTCTCTCCTGATTCAGACTTCATTGAATAAAACAATAATATGGATAGAGGACTCGTATTTTGGCCAAAAGCAATGGTTTGAAGATAAAAATGGCTTAATGATGGATTCGTTTCTGACAAACATGCACAGATTTTCACTGATGAACTGGAGTTGTATGGATTACTCATGGATTATTGTGATGTTTTATCAGCTGTTTGAACTCTCATTCTGATGGCACCCATTCACTGCAGAGGATCCATTGGTAAGCAAGTGATATAATGCTAAATTTCTCCAAATCGGTTCTCATTATCAAACAAACTTATCTATACCTTGGATTTTCATTTTTGGGTGAACTATTCCTTCAAGCATTACCTTATTAGCAGCCTCTAGTGCACTGATGAGAGTGTGCAGCTCCTCTTTGTTCATTTCTATATTCACCAATCTCTGAATTCCATTCTCCTTCAGGTCCAGACTGAGATTTAGCAGAGGAGTGTTTAAAGCTGACAGCTTGTCGCTGGATAATGCCAGCTAGAGTGAGATGCAAGGAAAGGGAAGAGGAAGTAAGAAAGCAACTAACAAATGGAAAAATCAATAGATGATCTTATCATTATGATTAATGCATGCCTGTATGTATGTGCTTGGTGCACCTTTAACTGCCAGTTGAAGTCCTGTAGCTGTGTGCTTGAGATGCCATTGGTTCTGTCCACCAAAGCATATCTGATCTCATCAAACCTGGAGCGCACACACTGGAGAAGAGCCTCGGCGCGTGCCGTGTCCAAATCACTCAGTAGTTCCTGGATCTTCAGACATGTGCACAAGATAATCAATCTCACAAATTATTCAGTCATGTTTAGTCAACCACTAAATCTACTTGAACACTGGCATGATTCTGTAAACAGTTTAGACATGTTTATACTGTATGTATGGTCACATTCTCATCTACTCACCTCTTGATCTGAACAACCCCTTCCTACGCCAAAGCGGATAAAAGAGGAGAGAGCGTTCATTAACTCCACCCATTCTGTCAGACTCCACCGTTCACCGTAATCTGTTCGCCTCGGACCACTCTGGCCGCACACCCCATCCACCACCCTGTGTATGAGCTTACATTGCAAATAAGGAGTTGAAGTATTCAGTGCTCAAAGTCAAGTTGATAAAGCTCCTAATATATTCTGTTTATTTAGAATGATTCTCTAAACGTTTTCAACCAGGGGTCCATCAAAATACCGCAGCAGGGTCTGTAGACCGATATGAAAAACATATAGAAAAATTTTTGCCAACATACTAGGATTCAATATATTTAAATATTTAAATTGTGGTTGAAATTTATGAACATAAGCAAAAATTGACCCTTATGACTGGTTTTGTGGTCCAGGGTCACATATATGTTAATTGTTATTAACTGAAGATATTATAGATACAAAGAATACAGCATTTTTATTTTAGGGGGTACCTGGTGTTGACAAAGTTTGGGTGAGGGGCCCCTGCAAGTATTTTTTTTTTTACTTTATTAAACCTCTTCAAATAATAAACAAGCTTTATCACTGATAAACACAAACACAATAAATCCAAGCAGTACAAATACATAGAAAGAGGAAACTGCATTCTTTTTTTCAACTGCTTTAAGGACTGAAATACAATTTTAAAATAATTTTTATAATGCCATAATACTTAATACTTCAAGGGTCAGTAAAGTCCCTGCTCTATATGTTGGTAGATAAACATCAGATGAACTTCAATGTATTGAAACTATCCATGCAACAAAAAATATAATTTATAAAATAATAATAGTACCCGGTGCATTAGGGTGCATCAAAAAAATAAAAAATAAAAAGTACGATTTTCACTTTGGCCCAACCACTCGAGTCAGACTACAAATGTGCAAAAAATTATTAAAAATGTTCCTGTGGCTCAGTGGTAGAGCACTGCGTTAGCAGCCCAAAAGGTTGTGGGTTCAATTCCTAGGGAACACACATACTGGTAAAAAATGTATAGCCTGAATGCACTGTAAGTCGCTTTGGATAAAAGCGTCGCATAAATGTAAATGTAAAAATTTATAATGTCTACCGGGTCCACATGTGATGCAAAATATTGTTACAGGGTCACAAATAAGCATATAAGTTTTAACAGAACAAAAATAATAATAACCAGTTTCTGGCACTGTTGGGTCTTTTTTTTATGTATTTATTGTTCTTTACTTAAGTGACAATGAGACGTGTAGGCCAAGTATAGTAACCCATACTCTCATACCCAGTTTGTCCTCTGCATTTCACCCATCCAAATGCGCACACACACAGCAGTGAGTAGTGAACACACACCTGGAGCAGTGGGCAAAATTTTGCTGTGGTTCGGTGCCTTGCTCAAGGGCACCTCAGTTTGTAATGAGGGTGGAAGAGAGCGATGTTCATTCACCTACATTTCCTGACGGTACTGACTGAGAATCCAACTCGCGTCCTTTGGGTTACAAGTCGGACTCTCTAGCCAATACAATGATTTTTGCCAGTTTTTGGTGTGTTACTGTCAAAGAATGTAATAAGTCATATACTACTGACTGTATTGTAGATTTGGTAATGTTGCTAAAGCAGAATAATGCTAAAAGTTTTCTTAAAACTCAAATATTGCATTGCAAATGCTAAGCTGCATAATTGTATATCATTTTCATTTCTCGGGTGTGATTGACCCGGTAAATATACAATTAAAAATATGAAATTTGTCCACAATGTTTACTGCTATGATATGGCATGCATTAGATATATCTATATCTAATGCATGCCACAGGGGGCATTTGGGCCAAAACATACTTCAAAACTCTTTTTTTTTTTTAAATGCAGCCTAGTACCCATAATCGTAATGGGTCTCCTTCAAACATAGCAAGAATATTTTATAATCATTATTATTTTATGTATGTATTGATGATAGCTCTCGGGTACCGCAATTTTAAACCACAGATACCAAAAGTATGACTCTAAGTTAGCTTTTATGGTAAATAACCCACAACCAAGAAATTAACTATACATCTAAATAACAGTATCTCGTTTAAATTTATTTCTACAAATTATTAGACGGTTTCAATTAAACAAAAATTTAATGAGTAAAACACAGTATTTATTACGGGCAGCATGGCTGCTGTTCTCAAGCTGATGGCAGAAGGCATGTGCCACTCATGTGAGAACACTGCATATGTATTATTTGATAAACAGTATTATGTGTAGGAAGCTGCTGTTACTTACTTTAGGACATTGTGCAGATGGTAGTTTTTCGAGCAATTTTATCATCATGCTGTCAGTCGTCTTCCTCAGCGTCAATGATGTCAGCTGATCGAGCGTCACGTGACTTCATCTTCTGCCGCGTCCTCAGGATGTTGCTGCACTCTGGGATTTACTAATGATACATTTTACAGGCTAATTACATTTACGTGTTAAAGTCTTACGAACTATTTCAATGTTGTCACATTTACACATTACTGTCAACTTAAAACGACACCCGGAAGTACTCGTTCATAACATTTCAAATTAAAAGTTCAAAATGATAAATGAACAGTAAACGCATTAACTGTATAGATTTATAGATATAGGTTTGAAATTGGATCCTAATTTAAAATAAATAAATAAA